ACAAGTAAAATGATATACTTAGTGGTGTACCACTACCAATAGTGTGATTGAGTAAAATATATTAATAAATTATATTAGGGTACAAATTTAATAAATACATTCTTAATAATTGAGGAACTAGCGAACAAAACGGTATTATAACATGAAATAATTAAGAATTTTACAGGTGCTGTATCAAACTGTATGACATACCTACAGTGAGCTTTTGGCATAGTTTTTAATTTATAAAATTGGTAATTTTAACACTGTTTTAGGCGGTTTTGATTGAAAATTATTTGAGATTCAAATTAAAGTTCCCGAAACCACCGGACCGGTAATTATACCGTTTGGTTTGCGAGTGCTAAATGTCGATGTCAAATTTTGTATGGAAACTTGAACAGCAGCACCACAAAGTCCGTAACGAGAACTAAAAATCAGTACACATTTGACAATGACATTTCGGACTCGCAAACGATACGAATTCGATATTGGTGCGTGCTAGGGGTACTGGACCAAAACCTGGAACGAGTGAAACTTTTTCCTAGTGAATATTTTTTCAGAACTATAAAGCTATCAAAGCTGCATCTCATACAGAAAGTGCATTTCATAATTATTAAAATGACAAAAAAATGTATTCTGAGGTTCAGTCAACTTATTTTGTAATCAAGCAAGAAACACAATGCTATGATTTCCTAATTATTGAATAAAGTTGCGTTTATCGTTCCTTATTATAAAATGGAGCTCGATGGCACAAGTGGTTAGCGCGTTCGGCTGCTATCGTTGAAATTAAGCAACTTTCGCAGTGGTCGGTCATTGGATGGGTGACCAAAAATTACTATCTCGAGCTCCTCCGTGCTTCGGAAGGCACGTTAAGCCGTTGGTCCCGGCTGCATCTGTAGTCGTTAGCACCTACCAATCCGCACTGGGCCCGCGTGGTGGGTCATGGCCCAATCCCCCTATTCCATCCGTAGGGAAGGCCTGTGCCCCAGCAGTGGGGACATTAATAGGCTGATGATGATGATTATAAAATGAGGAAAGTTTGTAACTTATCCTGTCTGTAGTTTTTATCCATAGATTTTTCAGTCGCGTAAAAGGTTACAACTTTTTATTAGGTACGGATTGATTAACACAATTGGAAAACGACTTTTCTTTGGAAAATTCTTAGTAAAAACTCAACAAATTGATTATCTTCAGTAAGTTCCTGGTCATTTTACTCAATTATCACAAAACCCACTTTCTGTAGGCATTATTTTGATGGTTGTAAGTTTAAATAAAACTAGTTCTTCACAGGTTAATGCACGAAACTTTATTTATTAACTGACGTTTCGCAGCCTTTACAAGCTGCTTCGTCGGAATCCATTTTTTATAAATAAATAATAAATAAATAAATAATAAATAAATATTTCCAACACTCACACCAATTAACCTAGCCCCAAAGTAAGCACTTTAAGGCTTGTGTTATGGGATACTAGGGTAACGGATAGAATACATAAACTGTACATAATTATATGTGTATTTTTTTTTATAGAAATACATATTAAACATCCATGACTGGAGTAGAAATGCTCGTATTCATTACGCAAACATCTGTCCCCACCGGGATTTGAACCCGGGACCTCTCGAGTCGGCGACACCATGAAACCCGGCGTACAAACCACTCGACCTCAATTTTTCGAAAGCAGCCTGTAAAGGCTGTGAAACGTCAGTAAATTAATAAAGTTTCGTGCATTAACCCTTGAAGAACTAGTTTTATTTAATAAGTAGCGTGAAAACCTAAGAAACAAATAGGTTGTAAGTTTTTTACTTTTTTTTTTGGAAAATCAAATCGGAATTCCGCGTTGCCCGAATGTTACAATACCATTATAACCAATAAAAACGTTTAAAATGTTACAAGAAAAAATTCCAATGCGAATTTACGTACCATTCGCCCGGATAGCGAAGGGTGCGGGTTCGAGTCCCGTTTGCTGCCTGAGCCGCGTGGATTTTTTTCTGGTAATATTTTCTTTAGATTTCATTACAATAAATCTGTGTTTTATTTTTACCATAGCATAAAAAATAAAGACCAAGGAAGAGATACTAAAATAATTGGAATTTGTATCTACTGAAGACTTCAATACTAGAAACTTATAAAGTAATTATAATACCTATGTATGATAGGAATAAAATATAAATAAATAAATAAATATGTCCAACACTCACACCAATTAGCCTAGCCCCAAAGTAAGCACTGTAAGGCTTGTATTATGGGATGCTAGGGTAACGGATAGAATACATATACTTTACATATATAAGTATATTTATATAGAAATACATATTAAACATCCATGACTGGAGTACAAATGCTCGTATTCATCACTCAAACATCTGCCCCCACCGGGATTCGAACCTGGGACCTCTCGAGTCGGCGACACCATGAAACCCGGCGTACAAACCACTCGACCACGGAGGTCGTCAAAAAAGAAAAGAAATATCACTGACATCATTTCCTCCGCAATGCGCAACATTTTTTTTCCGAGTTAGAACTGTCCTTTCTTCTATCAGCGGGGAGAATTCATTGGCTTTTGTATTTCGTTTGAAGATTTTGAAAAGCTATTCACGGACACGGGTTTTTTTTCTAATACGTTACATTATCGTAAACCCGGAAGCCAGGAAAGAAACTGTTCCACATAAGTATACCTAAGTATATTGTTGTTTGAACTGTATACAAAATTAATAAACAAAAAAAATGTATACAGTTCAAACAACAATATACTACTACAGTTCAAACTACAATATACCTAAATATTACCAGAAAGATCCACGCGGCTCAGGCAGCAAACGGGACTCGAACCCACACCTTTCGCTATCCAGGCGAATGGTTAGTAAATTCGCATTGGGTTTTTTCTAGTAATACTTTCTTTACATTTAAACGTATTATTTGGTTATAATGGTTTTGGTAATATTCGGGCCACGCGGAACTCTGCTTTGATTTTATAAAAAAAAGTAAAAAACTTACAACCATCAAAGTAATGCCTACAGAAAGTGGGTTTTGTGATAATTAAGTAAAATGACCAGGAACTAATTGAAGATAATCAATTTGTTGAGTTTTTAATCTATTGAATTTTGAGTTACGTGTGAAACTTAAAAATTGTGTGGATAAAACTGTACTGCGTCAAATTTTGTATGGAAAGTTGAACAGCAGCGTCACAAAGTACGTAACGAGAACTAAAAATCAGTACACATTTGACAATGACATTTCGCACTCGCAAACGATACGAATTCGATATTGGTTCGTGCTAAGGATACAGAAAAGTTATTTTATATCTTCACACAAAAATATTGATTAATATCGTTTACAAAATATCCTTAAACTTGTAAATAACATACCTATTATGCAATATTATCCGTACAAAGTATGTAGATCCTAAGAGTAGTATTATTCGAATCAATTTATGACAAATAAAATTGTCAGGGTTTCATAATTGCAAAATTATTGAGTTAGATTGTTATAGTTTGATACTTTACTTTTTAGCTAGTCAAGTTTCTGAGGTAACTCAAAATTCTCGATGCATATCAAAAGATACACAGAAAATAAATCTAAGCAACACATACAACATCATTTACGCAAGTGATATCATTTCATATTATCGTTATGAAATGTATAATTTATTCAGAGGCATGCTTCAGGCACAATAAATTTAACTGGTTATTATTAACAAAAAATTGTTTTTTAAATCGTTCAGAAGTTTGAAAAAGTTCACGTAGCTAAGGCTGTTTTGATGACTCTAACACAAGTTGTACAATAACTCATGATTTGTGACGTAACGAACTTTAATGTTAACAACTTACACAAAACTTATTATCAATAAATAGTTTAATGACAAAGAAAACAAAAAATAAGAATATTGCCATCTCAGATTAATTATGTGACCAGTGGCGGCGCTAGACCACATGTGGACGTCGGCGACATCAAGTTCGCGAGGCCTATTTTACTTCGCAGTAAAAAACCGTTAAATTAAGTGAGCCAAATTATAAAATAACGTATGAGTAAACGAGTTTTATTGTTGATAATCAAATGATGACAAAAATAATTACGAACATAGAAAGATTACAAAAATAGTGTTACCAGACAGACTATTCTGAATACCCGTAAAGTACTACACGCGTGTTAGAAAATAATAAAAGTCATTATGATCTGCTTAGCTTTTTCCCCGAATCGTTCGGGGTTGGCTACCTAAGCCAGGCCAGGAGAAACGAAAATAAATAGGTAACTTGTAAAAAAATTTTGCGAGGCCGTCGGCGGTGGCCGACGTCGCCGACGCCTAGCGCCGCCACTGTATGTGACAACTACTTTAAAACATATCAAAAAATTTAGGTTATCAATAACAACATTTCTAGGTTTTTTCTCGTAGGACCTATATTTTATTATCGACCTCATAAAACAAATAAATTGGCGGCTTCTATCAAAATACATTTATTAGAAAATGTCTTATGTAGGTTACAAAACAAAGGCGTAATAACAGAATAGCCCGACGGCTGCGTGTCGCAGCAAATGTAGCGGCTACGAGAACTAAATATTAACGTCTTATTATAATTATAAAACTTGTCATTAATAAGGTAGAAGATTATTTGTTAAACGTATGGAAATACGGAGCGTTATCAAAATTTGTGTAGTAACATTGAGATCGAATTAAAACTCGTTTTCTTTATTCGATTCGAATTTTTACAACGCTGCAAATAAACTGTATTTAATACGTAATTTAATATTGTCCGAATTTTTTATAGGTTCAATTTAAAATGTCAAACACTTAGAAAGTGAATTATTGACAACTATTTATAAGGAAAACTCTGTCTAGTGCTACCTAGGTATTACACATTAACAAACCACACTAGTATACAAACTCACGATCGGAGAGCTCACAAGAACTCACTGCGCGCCAGCTACATAACCATAAATTCGTACGCAGAAACCGAGACAGAATAGAATTCATCGTAGGTACTACACAAGTACACATTGAAGCTAACGCACTTATGATTATTCCATGTTTTTATCGTTGCGAGCTGCGGTATTATTAGCGGCGGCACCGCGCGCGGCAGAGCGGGGCAGGGCCGGCGGAGGGGCGGCGGGGCGGCGGGGCGGCGGGGCGGCGGAGCGGTGGGGCCTCGGGGCGGGCGGGCAGGGCCGGCCCGAGGGGGGCAGAGGGGCAGGCGGGCATCGTAGGCTCCGCCCCGCCGCGCGCCAATCCGCGCCGCTGTGGAGGGGCGCGCGGGCCCCTCGCCTCTATTTACTCTTTCAATCAGTGCGAGTGTTTGCCCCTGGCCGGCGTGCACGCGCGGGTGATGCGCTAGCCATGATCTCGCAGAAACTGTCGTACGGCGACGTGCCGACGTCCGCGTCGCTGTCCTCGCTATCGCCGGGCCTCGCGCCGCCCTACGTCAACGGTATGGGCTGCATGCCGGCGCAGCCCTACCCGAACTTGTACGCGAACAACATGGTGGCCGGCGGCTCCTGCATGGGATCCCCGGGCGTAGGCTACTCGCCGCCCAGCACCATGGCCTCCTGCATGGGCGGCGGCGGAGTCCCCTACGGCTCCTTGCCCAGGGAACAGGAGGCCGCGTCTCCGACATCAGCGCTGCAGCGGGCGCGGAACGACAAAACCTACCGCCGCTCCTACACGCACGCGAAACCGCCCTACTCGTACATCTCGCTCATCACAATGGCGATCCAGAACAGCTCCACGCGGATGCTCACCCTCTCCGAGATCTACCAGTTCATCATGGACCTGTTCCCGTTCTACAGACAGAACCAGCAGCGCTGGCAGAACTCGATAAGGCATTCGTTGTCGTTCAACGACTGTTTCGTGAAAGTGCCGCGCACGCCGGACAAGCCCGGCAAGGGCTCCTTCTGGACGCTGCACCCGGACAGCGGGAACATGTTCGAGAACGGCTGTTTCCTGCGGCGGCAGAAGCGGTTCAAGGATGAGAAGAAGGAGTCGATACGACAGGCGCAGAAGGCGTCGCATCCTCACGGGCCGCACGGGCACGAGAAACGCGGCGAGCATACGCATGAGAAAGCGCCCGCCGAGGAGAAAGAGATGAGGGACGAGCTGCTGGCACAGCTGCATGCAGCCCCTGAGCTATGCCTACCGGAGCACACTCCGTTGGCGTTGGAACACTACGCAGGCCTCAAACAAGAGCCAGCGGGATACGCGCCGCCGCCGCATCCCTTCAGCATCACCAGACTACTCCCGGCGGCCGACTCAAAAACTGACCTGAAAATGTACGACGTCAACTATGGCTACGGCCACGCGCCCGCAGAGAACTACTACCAGTCGCCGTTGTACCACCACCATCACGCGCACGCGCAGCCGCCCTTGTGACAATACCCGCTGGCGTAGACGCGCCCCAAATATTATTCTACCAACAAAATCTCATTCTGATATTGGACTCCGAGTGAGCTAAGTTTTGGTGATATTGGATATTACCCATCCCGCCCCACGAATGAACAGTTTGTGTAAATATGACGCTTTCGAGGACAGTCCGTAAGTTGTGCGTTTTTTTTAAGTAGTTAGATGTCTCTAGTGCACTATAGCAGGGGTGGGACGCGTAGGCCTAAAATTCGTGAGGCTCTGCGCGAAAGTGTCCTTTGTAAGTCGACTTCAGATCAACTCCAAAGTATGTACCGACTCTTTATTTTTAAATATACTTGGATATATCATCTTAATCCGTTACGGATATAAAATATTACTAATTTTAGTCGTACTTTTTTTTACATAAAATTGGCTTTTCTAACCTTTTAAAATGAGGGCAAAAGCTTTTTCCCGCCCAAAGTTAGCCGTTGCGATAGGCAGCGGAGGGATAGCGTTAATATATCCAGTTTAATGCGATCAATACGATAAGCTATCGGTGTTCCTATCGGTCGTTAGATAAATAATACCTCGTTCCGAACGCGTTGAAGTCTTTTCCATTTTATTATCTAAACAAACATTGGCTTTCGTTTGTTATGTTAAGTTAGACAAATTGATATTACATTGAAATACATTAGGAATAATGTAAAATAGAGTACACTTTTAAAGGCACGTTTTTTATAACAGACAAAACATGTTATTTTATTGTGATTAAGTTAGACAGTTTTGTAGTTTTTGGAAAGAAGTTTCTTTTTGGACGGCACAGGCTTGGTGGATTGAGGAACTTCTTAGTCGAAAAAAAGTGTAAGATGCTTCCGTGACAACCGTCAATTTTTTCGTAGCGTATTGGGTGTAGGTATGTACTTATGTTTACTTTTAACTTCGTTCCAACTGAGTATTCGACGCCATTCACGTTAGCTTTATGAAGACTATTATTTGATCTAAAACAGATTTCGCTAATTACATCAAAAACATTCGAGTTAGGTGGTTAACGCCACGTTGTCTTTTCCGTAAACAAATTAATACATCAACAAATGTTTATTATTTTATTTTCATATTACCCCTTGAGTCTTGTTTTTAGGTAAAATATAGTTTATTATTTTCTTTGTATTTAAAATGTTAATCATGATATTCCTTTTGACGTAATGAATAAAAACATGTGATTAAAAGATAAAATTAGAGATATACCTTCAGTAGACTGTAAAAACACGAGATTTACATATTTGATGAAAATTTAAAAGTATAGCAAAAAGAGGCGATAATCTTATATTTGTTTTTGCTTGCTTATTTTTATAATAAAGAAATAAGACCACATTTAAGTATTATTTTTGATACTCACATGTCTTATAACTATACATAATAAAGTATACCCATCAGCACAAGATAAAGTATAGGAGTACCGCGTATTAGCGTATGTTCGCTATTGTCATGCGGTTTTCTCCATTTATTGTTTATTTATTTAATTTACTATCAATAATATTATTACATACATTGGCATCGCGCCATAGAAAAGTTACCTTTCCATTCGAGCGAATGTTAACACTTACTTTAAAGTTTAAAATTATGTAATAAACTCAGTAAACTGCAAAAAATTATATCGTATGATTATTTATCTTGTACAAAAAAATCAACTGTTTCATACTTCTAAAGCTTACGATAAGTATTTTTATTAATTTCTTATTGTTAACTTACAAAAAAAGTTAGTGTGATTTTTTAAACGTATATACAGAATTCAACTTTTCTCGGGGAAGATTTATATCTATTATACAAGCTCGATAACAAAAACTTTAGACTATATCAAAGCGAAGCGATAGCGGATGACTTATAATTTATGAATTCAAAAATTACTTAGGTATTTGACTACTTATCAGGATAGGTATCTCCATGTTGTCTCATGAAAAGACTTCAACGTTCGTTCAAATCCGGTATTTTTTGTTCAATTAGCATTTTGATTAGTTCAGTTCATAAACAAAGTGTTCATAGTTTTTTAAGTTATTAACACATTTTTTTTCGTTCGTAAAAGAGTTGGTTGGTTAACTGCGGATTGTGAAGTGACGTCATATCGAGTGGACCGTCGAACTGTGCAATGTTGTTGTGTAACAAATGTGTATAAATATATAATATACTTAGATAGGTAAAATGGAATTATAGTTCTATCATCGACCATCGCGTTTAGGCTAAGATAAGTTCTGTATATATAGTCGTTAAGATCAAAAATGCAGTGTCCACGCGAGGTTGGGTAAAACGAAACGGGAAACGTGTTGATAGAAATAGTTTTTAAAGGGGCAGGAATCTCTGTTTAAACGATTAATTGTTTGGGATATATCGGTGAGAGGATATGTGAGAATTTTTGATTACTATATAAAGTTTTTAATTATTGATTGATCCAGAAATAGCTACCGTGTGTGCGTAAGAATACGTATCAGATTTCTTCACCCCTGTTTCTTTGTATCGCATCGCTTAGGGCACACTGTATGATTACTATATTATGGTGTTTGGTGTAAGATAGGTTCCTATCACATCTTCTACACATTCCATTCAAATGTATATTTATGTGCAAGCGTAAATTTAGCAAAGTATCAAGTTCGTTTGGCAGGCGTATATGACAATTATGCACTCAGGTTGTTATTATTTGTGAGAGAAAAATATCTATGTGTATACTCCAGAAAATTAGTGAATTTATAATGTAAATATTTTCGTGAGTATTGTCGTGTGTTACTTTGAGCCTACTTGGTGAGGCCTCAAGTAGTTACTTGACTTTTGTGCTTATCAACTAGCACAACCTTGGTTTGTCATATTCAGTGTTAGAACCTTGAAAGCAAATATAGTTTTAAAGAAAATATAGCTTTTTGCATTCGTACGTTAATATTTTTTTGGAGTACCGATAATATTGAAACTCTGGTATTTTTTATAACGCATAGTGGTATTTTTAAGAAACTCTCAATACCTGTTAAATTTACGTTTAGGATACCTGGTTTTGTTTTTAATTTAGTTTTTTATAATATAAGTCATATTTTTTTTAAATATCTGAATTATTCAACTAGTGTCTTTTTTAAAAGTATATATTGTTGTTACTTAAGTTTCCATTCATCACAACTCATTAATATAAAATGTCATTATTGAATGGTTTAAAATCAGGTATATTTAAATTTTATATTTTATATAAACAATAACAATTTTTTGGACTAGTAATCGTAAAATTTGGAACATCAGTCAACATAAAAAATTCTAATAAACGCCTTTTTTTAAAAAGAAAAACATTTTTGACATAATCTAATTAACAATTTAATGTGTAATAGTTTTAAATTAAATGTATATTGAAATATTATATTGTCAACAGTCAAGTTTTAAACTGGTTTATGTTACGATTTTCTAATTTACAATTAAAGCAAGCAAATTATGAAAAATAAAATATTAAAAATGTATATTTATGTAGATAAGATTGTAGGTATTTTACTTATAAACTAAGCCGGTCATATACGCACGCCAAAATAAACTTCTAATGTGTTTATATCTAATTAAATAGAAAACACATTATAGATGAGCTAAATTCATTCTTGTAGGATAAATATATTACTGTCATATTACTCGAATCTAGATAGGATACTTATATATATCATCTGTTAGTTTCAGAGTTAATAAAATTAAGTATTTACAAAAAAAATCTTTCCTTTCCTTACTACCCAAAACATTTAACGATATTAAAAGTCAAATGGTATTTTATTTATCTTCGAAGCAAAAATGTACATTAATAATTAATTTTGTTACAGTTATGTGCATTTCATATAGGTCTTATTACCAACAGTGAATATTTATTCTTGTCATATCATTTAAGTAGGTACACATTTCGAATATAAATTAAAATAAAATGCCATTTCACAAGTTAGGATTCCAAAAAGAAAAAATTTAGGCATATAAATGCAAAATTTAACATGATTAAGTGATTTTAGGTTAAGTTATGTCGAGAAACGTTTAGAAGTTAGGTAAACATTCAGCTTTTCACAAAAACTAATTTTATAAATGCTAAAATACTTAACTATATGTCTGTCCTAAACTCAAAATCACATATTTAGTCAAAGGTCAAACTCCAAGTACTTACTTAATATTCCATAATTTTATCGGTTCAATGTTTTTATTGTGGAAGTGAACTACGATATAACAAAATACCACAGATTACTAAATATTATACTTACAAATGATTACTTAATAATATTAAGTTTAATATTAGGTATTATACTTAATATTAAGTAATCTGTGGTAATGTGTTATATCGTAGTTCACTTCTACGATAATACCATTGAACCGATAAAATTATGGGGAATCTAGAAGAAGGATATACTATATTGTTTTAAACTTTCATGGTCACTAACATTATAGTAATATATGTTATTAACGGGACTGTTACTCCGTGATCATGGCGCTTGCAACAATGCCGAAATATCGGAAACTCGCTAAAAACAGGGTACTTGGTAACGATCGCGTTAATAAAATATATTACTATAATGAAGGATATACTGTTAATTTTTATTGTGAACGTTTGATCTTCATCCTTCTAGGCTACTAATTTCCCCACCGCTGTAGAGGTCTTCCCTATGGATGGAATAGGGAGATTGGGCCATGACCCATCACGCGGGCCCAGTTATCAGAAATCAATATATCTTTATTAAAATTGGATGTATAGTCCAACTCTTTTGAATCGTCCAAAATTTTTTTTCCCTTCCACTCGCTATGGACATATTTTTTAGCTGCGGAGAAAAACGAGCCAAAAAAACTCCACAACATTAAAAGTCTAATGTAACAACATTTACAAATCATTATGTTGTTACAGCGTCAATACAATTATGATTTATTTAATATAGAAAACCTGTTGGAATGATTGGAACAGTTCAAATCCAAGCATTTTTGTCTGTAATATAATCAGACACTTTTTAATAAGCTTTTTGAATAAGTGTTTTTTTATACTATCTTTCAGT